AAGTAAATTTACTTAGTTCATATACACCTCTGGTGTTTATAACTGTGTCTTTGAAGCTATCACTTTGTTTTTCTAAGTTTCCTAATAAATTCAAAGTCACGTCACAACGGGAGACGGGTTATTTTGCCGAGGGGCTGATGTGTCCTTTAGTTAACTGCGAGCACAGCTTGTTGTAATAATGCTGCTTCATGGTCACTGTGTTTTTCTGTCATTTAATGAGACAATTAACTAAGCTAATTAACGCTTTAATTTGTGCACTAAAAGGCAATTACTTTGATTATATAACAGGAGAAAGATTGCATAAACAGTAAACATCTTACAACGTCTTGTGCTGCCTCCATACTGGATCATTTTAATGTAAAATAAAGTCATCCAGAACATGAACGGTTCACAACAGATCTGAGCATATTTCATGTTGAGGTATACAGAGGCAGGAAACTCAGAAGTGAAGCTGATTGATCATCAGGACAACAGCTGATCCGGTCCACAGAGTCCAGAACAGGCTGATGCAGAAAACAAGGCAGAGCAGCTCTGAGCAGATTACTCTGAGGCTCTGTCTCTTCTCTAACGTCCAGCTCCAGACTTATTATTTTAAATGTTTGAGCTGTTTTTTCTAGTAGTCACATGAATAATTTAGTTCATTTAAGAGAGTGATAATGTTTTGATAGCTGCTTTGAGTTTTAAGAGCTATCCACGTAAGATACTGACACTGCTGACGGCAAAACATTTGGAAGCTTTAATGTACAAACCAAACAAATACATCTGACTTTTTATTGATGCGTAGATTTAAGAAGAAATCTGTAACATTTAAACAGATTGTTTTAAGTTTCATTTAGTAATGAGAGATTAGTGACATCGCTCAGGATCTGAGAGCTGATGGATAAAGACGAGGACTCTGAGGTTCAGGTGAAGACAGGATGTGAAGACATCTCAACTTTTAGTCCCCTTTTTTGGGTTGACTGAGAGAAGAAACACCCTATGAAAGAAAAACATTGATTTTAAAAACATAAGCCTAAAATCCAAAAGATAAAATGACTAATTTTAGATTTTAGGTTTGTTTCAGTGATCAGACATGGGAAGAKATGTTGTTAAATTCATGTTTTTATTGTTTTGTACCACTATTTGTCCATGATCCATGAATATATCCTCACAAAACTGTTTGGAAGTGATCACTAAACATACATCTACCCCTTTCAAGATGGCTGCCACAAGCAGCAAACACAGAAATGGTCAATAAAACAAATAAAAATAAAAGCTAGAGGCTGAATGTGACAGATCTGAGTGACAGTATTACCTGGTGACAGGATGAATGTCACTTAATGGGGTCTCTGATCGGCACTGAGAGCGTCTCCTTCTTGCCCGGGTCTTTGGGAAATCTTAAAAACGGGAGAAGATTAGATTTCACTAAATATTTAAATGTCCTCTGGTCCAATCTAAACATCAGAACTTGAGCTTCATCATACTTCAAAAATAAATTATCTCTTCTTTTTCCATTAAACTTTATTTTCTTAATGTCAAAATAAGTATCATCTACCTAAATTCAGGGTTTTGATTGTTTTTTTACTTTCCACCATATATAATT